TATATATATATATATATATATATATATAAAAGCTATATAGGGGCCTGCCGAGTGGCACGTTGGTTAAGAGTTGGCTTGGGACACCGGCTCTGAGCAGGAGGGACCCTGGTTTGGATCCCACATGAGGGCCAGTGACACTGCCCTCTACAGCTAACATGGTGAACAACAGCTCGACCTGGAGCTGGGCTGCTGTGAGTCACCAGCGTAGGCTGCACTGGGCTGCCATAAGCTACTATGCGTGATTGGCAGCCAGCATGAGCAGCGGTCCAGTGACTGATGACCAATCTGCCTCACCCAGGAAGAGCACAATGATAATACCAACATGGGCCAGTGAAGTGATGTCCTCCACAACTAGACTAAAGAACAAAAGGACAGCAACTTGTCTGTTCCCCACCCTAACTCTCCAGTGAAATCTCAAAAAAAAAAAAAAAAAGCTATGTAGTCCAAAAGAGCCTAAGTATGTGAATATCTTCAACTAGGTTATTACTCAGTTAAATATTTCTAGATCATGAAGAATAAAACCAAAGGGAACAGATGATTGTGCTACTTGTTTCACATGGAAGATTCATTTGCAAATAACCCGAGTCATTTATTACCTCCTGAAATTCCAGATATGAGATAAAATAATGTCCTGACCAGTTCTCCCTTCTCGGTGGCCTCAGCCAACAAATTCTTTGCGGCACTCCTTTCCCAATCTTTTGAGTCTGCTTTTTCTGCTGATTTCCTTTAGGGAACCTAGAGTGATAACTCCTGGACTGGAACGGATTTCTAATTCCATTTACCTATGTGATTTTCTGAAGCAACTTCTCTGTATCTTAATCTACTCAACTATATAAAATATTTTCTAAAAACTAAAAATAGTTACTTACTTTCAAGGAGTATATTATAGACCAAACCCCGGGGGCAGCTGGTTAGTTGGTTAGAGCGCAGTGCTCATAACACCAAGGTTGACAGTTCTATCCCCACATGGGCCACTGAGATGCACCCTCCACCAACTAGGTTGAAACAACTGAAAAACGCCCTGTTCCCCAATTTTTTTAAAAAAGTGCATATTATAGACCAACCCTATGATGAGTAATATCTTTGAGACGAAATTAAAATGCATCCTATGCCTAAATCAAAACACTTGCAGATTTTTGCTCATATTCCTAAACACCTTAGAATTAATGGAGAGATCTTTTAAAAACTGATTAAATCAGAATGTTTGGGATTGGAATCCAGGCACCAATGTTTTTTTTAAAGCCCTCCAGGGAATTCTAATGTACAAACAAGCTGAATACCAAGGTTTAGACAACAGAGATGTTAGAATAATTAACTATATACGACAATATTCAAATGTACTTGTCACCTAGACATTTCAATTCACCAATCAGACTAGCTGGTTAGAATATGATTGCTCGATTTGCAGCAGGAAACATTTTTAAAACTTATTAGTAGGGGTGGCCGGTTAGCTCACGTGGTTGGAGCACAGGCTCGTAACACCAAGATTGCTGGTTCGATCCTCACATGGGCCAAGGAGCTGCGCCCTCCACAACTAGATTGAAACAATTACTTGACTTGGAGTTGATGGGTCCTGGAAGGACACACAGTTCCCCAACAAAATTAAAAAAAAAACACAAAACACATATTGGTAAACAATATGAAGATACTAGGGGGAAGGCACATAAAAGTGATTTTTTGGGGGGTTTTAAAAAATATTTTATCAGGGAATTTGGGGAGGGGAACAGCGTTGGGGAATCAGGGAAGGGGAACAGAAAAGTTGCTGTCCTTTTTGTTCTTCAGTCTAGTTGTGGAGGACTGTCACTTCACTAGCCCATGTTGGTATTATCATTGCGCTTTTCCTGGCTGAGGCAGTCGCTCGCTGGCCATTGGACGGCCACTCACGGCAACTCATGGCAGCTCATGAAAGCTCACTCCCGCTGCCAGCCAACCCCACCACAGCCTACGCCATCGCGGATGACTCACGGCAGCCCAGCTCCAGGTTGAGCTCTTGTTCACCATCTTAGTTGTAGAGGGTGCAGCGTCACTGGCCCTCATGTGGGATCGGAACCGGGGCCCTGCTGCTCAGAGCTGGCGTCCCAAGCCAACACTTTACAAATGCACCACTCAGCTGGCCCTTAAAAGTGCGAGTTTGATGAAAACAAAGTCTCTAACAAAGTTGCCCAGGTCCAACCAACCCCACGAGTCTCTGATTCTACTTATGTTGCATTGGTGTATATCTACATCAGCCAGAAAAGCATAACTCATCTATTATCTAGATTGCATATCAAGAAAAAAATGTTTCAGTGCCCCACAGACACCATCTGGTGCAAATCTTTTCCTCCTGGGTTTCAAGACAAGGAAACAAGCTGGCATTTGATCAGAACTAAAGGCCTCAAAGTAGTAAAGAGAATTATAAACAAGAATGAATCCAGGATTGTTATCAGTACCTAAAATAATGTTCTTTATGGGATATCTAATGTGGTTACTGTAAAATTCATGTGGCTGGAGAAAAGGTAGTGGGTGTCTTATATCAGAACCTACACTAGTAAATAAGAGACAGTATGGGCAGCTGCAGTAGATCTAGCTCGCCCCACTGCTTCCTCTTCCAAGCCAGCCGGCTAAAACCAGCCCGACAACAGTCTTCACAGAATAGCTAAACACTGAGCTAGCCTTTCTCCACCCACATCCCCCTCCTTTTCCCCCCACTCCATTTCTGCACATTAAACTGAGTGCCTCTCTAACTATGCTAAGAAAATGCCAATGCCAGACACGAAGAACGATGGGGTGGGGAAAGGGAGGAAAGACTGTTGGCTGAAGCAGAGAAGGAAAAGATGTAAAGTAAAAGACTAAGAAAGAGGAGTGATGTAAGTTTTCCCCTCCTTCTTTGTTTCCGGTTGTTAGTAATATTTCTTTTTCTCTACTACATAGGAATAATCTGGTATGCTTGTTTAAAATGCAGATTCCTTGGCTGTCACCCCTGACCTGAATCAGCCTGTGTATCTCCATTTTTTGAGCCAAACTCAAAGCTTATGGAATCAGCCATAAGTCTGCATTTCTAATAATGCATACCAAGTGATTCTTACATCCATGGAAGTTTGAGAATAGTGTCTTAAAGAGACAAATAACCATTTATAAAATGCTCTTTATTTAAAGCACTCAACATTTATAAACTCATTTTAGCCTCAAGCAACCCTGTCAGGTTGATGTTGTTAGTCCCCTCTGACAGAAGGGAAAATTGGGGCAATCACTGGTTGCTGTTTCCTACTCTCCTGATTCCTGGTCCACTGGAATACTTTAAAAGTATATCAATCTGGGAAGAATGGAAGAAGAGAGAATGGAATAGGTAAATGTAGAAAGGCAGTGTGTTCTCTTCTAAAGATTAGAGAAACCATCTAGTAATAAGAAGAAAAAAGAGAACAAGAGGCCCCCATTAGATATAGGGAAACCTGACTGAATTGGTAGACATTTCAACCACAGAAATGATGTGTAGATCTGTCACACATCTGTCACCAGCAGCACCTTGAATGATTAACAACACTTACAGACTGAATGAATGAGAAAATGCTGCAAGCATCCTAATGACCTGCACCACCATGAGTGTCCTGGTTTATTTTGCTGTCTTTTGCACACTGAAGAAGTTTGACTTAGGGAGCACTGTTCATTAGTTTAAGTTCATTTAGTTATCTTCAGTCCAAAGAAATAGTGCGATTTATATCTGTTCTGTCCAAATTTTTTTACATGCCCTATTTCTTCATTTTGTTTTTAAATCATTTTTTCTCTATTGCTTTTCGAATCCATATTGGTCATTGAGCTAAATTTTTTTTTTAATCATCCTTGTTTTTCTTATTTAATCTTTCTTCCATCAAATCCACCTGAATCCCCAAACCACTCTTTCCCTGATTTTCCTTCTCTCTCAGTGCCTTTCAGTTTGGGTTTCATCCTAACCACATGATATAAAATCAAAGGAGACAGTAAAGAGAAAGAAAGAAAAAATGAAAAAGAAAATCTATGTGAGTGACACAATGGAATTACTAGGCAAATCTCTAATGTATTCCAATACTTTTTGCTTGTTTCCCAGGATTTTTCTGGACAACTGGGG